CAAGGTGGCCAATACCTCTCGATACCCAGTCGATCCGATGATCACTGCAACAACCAAGAAGCTGTGTTGGTGTGTGGTTCGTACACGTTTTCTTCTTCACTGGTATTGACGGACTTGGGAACCAAAGTTTTCGAGTAACCCGGGTTCTAGTGGTAGGTTTATTGCTCAGTGACGGACGGGGGTCCTCGGATTAGTTGTCTGTTACTCGGTATCCGATTTTGTCTGAAACAAGAGACAGTTGGGAATGCTACTGTTCAACTGTTCTTTTTTCCGTTCGTACGTAACCAATGGTCAAGACCACACGAATGGGGTTCACAAAGGCTTGCCACCACACGCTTCTCAGTGTTTCAATGGCGTCTCCGGTACAAATCCGTTCCAGACAGCCAGGACGCACAACCAAACCATGCAATCATTCTTCCAGCAGTCGGAGTGAAAGAGTGAAGAAAAGCAGTGCGTTGGGTAGATAGGGGGAATGGAGTGGGTCTCCACCCTCACCTTTCCAGAACCGCATCCGCAGCTTACCTGGCACTGGACCGACAGGGCTGCTTGACGTGGATGCTCCGACCAGGATTTTGCTGTGCAGATGAATGCACTGTGTGTGGGGTGACCGGGGGCATGAGTGCTGTTTTCAGTTAGGGAGGCAGTACCCCTGTGCCCTTACCCGACTCCGGTCTCTCTCTTCGAGAAAGCGATTCTCCCGCCGAACCACCTGTACGTATCATTTCTCTCTTGTTTTTTTTGTTTTCTTTATTTTTTTCCGTCTTTTTCTTATTCTTCTTTCCTTGATCGGTTGAAAAGATAGCTCACTATTTTGACGACTCCGGCTGTTGGGACCTGGTGGGTACCCTTCTTTATTTCTTCTTCTCCTTATCATTTCCGCGTTCAGCACCATGGGGCGTTCGAAGCCGACCCGAGTTTATCCTGTCACTAATCACTCCTTTTCGAGTGTTCCTCGCATTATATTTTATCGTTATAGGTATATATATACTTTTGGGTCATGAGGGATAAAAATCCCTCTGCCTTGCTTGGATGGGGATTGTGTTTGATGGTTGCTGGTTGTTATAACACCTGGGTGAGTTACCTGCGTGATCGACCGTCTGGTCTCCGACCTTGTTCGCAGAATACAGCTCTGGAATCAGCGACGACAGAGTAAAGATAAAAATTCAGGCCACACATTCACATCACCTCATCTGCAAACATACTCAATGTACGACAATCAAAGACCGGTGCTCAGATGCCCCAGGTTGGGGTCGCTCCGATTGCCGGTAAGGTATATCGAACGGAGCGCCAGGGTACTGTTCGGCTGTGTTGGTCAAGTAGCTTTTTGAACGATAGTTTACTTTTAACCTGGACTACTGTCGTTAGCAGTGAGTTCCAAAGGGTGACATACACGTAGCGATAAACAGTGTTCCCGGGCTCTCAGTCTGGGACGCTGCCTCTCCAGTTTCATGGAGTGGCCGCGCAGTGCTGACGGAGGGACCAGGTAAAAGGCCTATCTAGGTCCTCTTGCAGGGTGCACTTATCTTCTTGGTTGATTTGGAATCAGGGTTTTCAATCATCTCTCCTAAGTGAACTGCCAGTGATTCATCGACTAGGTTACGGGCCCCAGATTTTTACTTTTCGTCCTCTGGTTTTGTCGAGAAAACACCTCCGTCGCGAGGAGGCACTACGTCTTCACACGCCAGCCACCGCACCTGCGACAAACAAACAAACACAAGCTCATGTGATACAGCTACCGTGGCCACGAACTCATTGCACGAATTGTCCCGTACTGCAATCCACAGGGTTATTGCACCTGTGATCATCCGTGTCCCCACATTCTGTCTCACAATACTGACCTAACGGAATCGAGATTGACTCCAAAACACCCTCAATATCTCTGTAATTTGTAACTGCCAGATAATTAATCATGTAAAACAACCGCCCGTTCTTCTTGAATGTGTCCTCTCCGTGTATAGGATCATTGTTTTCAGGTCGCCTTTTTACAAGAGCAATAGTCTATTGTTTGTTTTGTTCACCAAATATTTTAGAATTATTTCCAGTTGTGGCACCGGCTCGATTTGGCATCGAGGTGTTTGGGACACCTTGGATTTTTGACCCCGTCCGCAGGGCATGTGATCCGATGAACTGGACACCAACTCCCAATGGATTGTGGTTTTTGCACACCACTCCGCTGCCTAACGGGTCAGGCTTTGACTAAACGAAGGCTCCGATTGTGGATTCCCCAAGAAAATTCACCTCCTTTGGACTGGGCAACCTAGCAGTATTGAGCTCACAAGCCAATCATGGAACGTTTTTCTTTTTTATAAAGATTATTTTACCATGATTTCCCTTGCATACAGTCTGTCTTCAGACAAGTGATATATATATATATATACATATATATATATATTAAGGGGTAGCTTTTTGCTGGGGTCAATCTATTTTGGAGTGGAAGAATTTTTCGGTAAAAGGATCCTATATGGAATGATAAAATGACTCCAGGTAACAATGGTAACGTGCACTGAATTCCCTTGATTGGACTGATTCATCAGTTTAACCGGGAATGATTGAATCGGAAAGATGTGCTCCATGCTTGCGGGCTTTTTTATTTGGTCTTGATGTTCGATTTCTATTGCATTATCTGACTTGACTATTCTTTTGTCCAGGTGTTGGCGGTCGTTCGCGAAAATTACGATTCTCTCACGTTGCGGGTACATGAGGACTTAGATGTGCCGGACTCCTACGTTGAAGAGGAGGATCATCTTCTGTTTGACACATTGGTGAGTGAACGTTAGCGGAAAAGTTGAATCGGATGGCCGACTCTTGTATGGCCCAGTTGTTTCTCGAGCTTCCCGGACAGATTATATCTGTTTTTTGTCCGGCTGGTCTATGCATGTTCACGTCACTCCTCCCATTTCTGTATTCTTCCATGTCATAATGACGGGGAAATGTGCTTCTTACAAAATGTTGTGTTACACTGTTTAGTATACACGAACTCTGGATGATCAATGTATATACCGGTTTTTATCGAGCCCCAGTGAAGTCATTACATCCACCCTCACATATATTTATATCACGTCCAGGCTCAGACAGTGTGCCAAACAAATCACGATCACTACTGGATCTGATATTGGTCTATCTGTCGTCAGTCGGTGCGCATCGGCACCACTCTAAGGCCCCATAGTAATTGTGACATCAACAGAACTTATTGTATCATTGGTCATCATCATTCTGTAACAGTCCCCATTGCAGTCAGTTTTGTTTGTTTGTTTGTAATGACTTGCGGTGATTCGTCCCCACTCCTATCTTTGTTTCGGATGACGGTGGTTACCAAATCGACAAGGGTATGCGTTGGTCGAGTTCCATTATTTGGTTATATCCGTCAATTACCCTAGGATTGCACCGAATATACTTAACTTATTGTATACACAGAGGCCGATTTTACATCGGATACTCATCTCGATTGTAGGATCCAATTGGGAATACAGGTTGAATGTTCGAAAAATCGCATGGTTAACGTTTCTACTTTAGAGCCAAGAAAACATCCACGCCTACCACTGTCTCATCTTTCCATGATCTCCAAATTCAGTCTCAAATTGAATTTCATCACTCGATAAATTTGAACTTAGTTTTCTCATCTTCCTGGAAGTCAGTTAATTAGCACTACTGAGATTCCGGTTTCTTGATCCTCAATTGTTCTAATACGTTTGCGCCGCTGATCAGACCGAATAAGGTTCAAACGTCTTTAGTGTGTTTCGAGCAATTCGGCTGATGTTTCTCTCATTCGTTATGCGGAAGAATTATTCCGGTTGTTGTTCGATTTAATTAAGTAACATTGACAACTGTGTTTAAGTGATTGCAAAGGATAAGTTCAGCAAGGAAATATTTTGTCTTCCTTTTGTAGAGCTATACTAATGGTCACATTCTTGCTTTACGAAATCCTTGATTGCTACGATCTTCCTAAATTGGGGGCTGCAGTTGAACTGTCGGCACCAAAAACATTTGGCTAATAGGAAATGTTCATTCCGGACATGTTGCGTCATCAGTATTCTTTTATCCTTGGGTGGAGTGCAGTTGTCGGTTTATGGTGCTCCACTTTCCATATGATGAATGCATTCCCCTCCGACTCTCTGTCTGTTTGTCGCGGAAGTTAGCGGTGCATTTTATGTGGCCAACCGATCCGGTTTTTCTGTGCCCACCTTTGGCGGCCGTCAGTACCTTTTTGTCTGCAGTCTCTTTACGCTACACTGTTTCTCACTCACTCATCCCCTCGCTTTGTCTGATTCGTTTTTCGTTTGTTTGATTTCCAGGTCGAGACCGTACTGAAACAAACACGTAAAGATTGCATGGACTCTAGTTTGCAAATGCAGTCCTATTTCCACGAGCTTTCTGCCATTTCCTAACACACACATTCGCAAAAAATACAGTAAATATGAAGATTCAATGTACAGACTCCCTGTTTCCTCTCTCTCACACACATCAGACCTTTTTGAATAAATAGGTTCATACGCAAAAAAAAACACCAACCCGTCCTTTTGTGAAGCGGTTCCTAATTGGCACTGTTTCAACCGACTCGGTTTTCTCTCACTCTGTCTATGTGTTCCGAATTGCTTCCTGGCTGTACTGGTTGAAGCTATTTCTGTGATTGTTTCATGTTGTTCACTTTTTTTGTCCTTTTCGCTTCATGGTTTCTTTTGATTCACTACATTCCATTGGACTAATTTNNNNTTTCCCCCCCCCCCCCGTGGGGGCCTTCTGTGGTCCCGTACAGAGAGATAGGAGACAATTATGCGGCATGTGCATGCGCGCGCATGTGTGTGTGTTTATTCACTGTCGTAGAGTCAACAATGATAGGAATAACAAACGACGCAAAGTGTAGATCCGCCGTTCCCTGGGATTAGTGTCGGAAACAATGCGGCCCCAGTTGATGACAGGTACAAGTATTCGAAAGCAAGATGAGCTGGTCTCCGTGTGAAATTCATTCATTCACATAACACGTTGGTAGTGAAGCACTCAACTTCCAGTGTTTGTGACGTTAAGCTCATTCGCCTCATTGATAGTCCGGTTTCACTGACAGCGGATCAACAAGTCCAATGAAACATCTACCTCTCTTGCCGAACTGATTGAGTGCTTAGTTGATCACTTGCCACACATAACTTTCCCATCCAGCTACTACTGGATTGAAAAGCATATGTATATGATAGGTGATAGAATTAACTTCCATGGGATGCTTAGGGTGATCAAGGTAGGCGCGTCTACGTAGTATTTAATAGCATATTTTATTTGATTTCGATTTGGCGTCACGTATTACTGAAATCGATCGCGTAAATCTTCCGAGACCATTATTTTCATCGTGAAATCCTGCAGGAACAGATGGTGGCTTCCGTAAAAATATCTTTCCTTTTCATAAAAGCAGTGTTTTGTAGTATGAGCAAATTTTTGTACTGTCTTTCTTCTTCTGGTTAAACTCTGTACCCAGTGTAGAAACGAGTGCTCGCAGGGGAAGATCGTCGAATTCCAACTGTTTTCTCACTGTGTACCGAGCAATTTTAACACTGGGGTTGTTGAATTGATGCTGGTGTAGTTTGTGTACCTCATTGGTACCTACCCTGTTAATTCGGCGAAAAATCTACGCGGTCAATGAGGGGACTCATCTCTACACAGTCTAACTGCGGCAATTTTTCCAGACAGCGTCATATCTGCTATTTATTCTGGATGTATGCGTTTTTGTATGGAATTGAAATCGGACCATGGGCGCTTATTTATGAACTATCACGCGAAAAACAAACTGTTTCTCTCTGAGTGTTTTGTATTTGGTGAATAAAAACGGGGTGCTGGGCAAGCCTTTTTCCGTCCGTTCCCATGGTATGCTCTTGGTTGTCGCCATCGGCAGTTGTTTTTGTATTGATCCATACATGATGTGCAGTTGATTTTCCGCTAGCAAATGGAACGATCACTAACTCCAAGAGAGAGAGAGAGAGAAATTGCGGGTGTATTGGTTTCTTCTCACGCGTCCGTTCTTTCGAGCATTTACTCGGTTCACAGATGGTTTGGTGATTGACCAATCCTCTTGATCGATCTATTGACCCATGAACGGTTTTCCTCTCAACTTTTCGCTATTATGGCTATTAGAGCCGTGCCTCCAAGCATAGGTGGTCGAATGAGCGTGATGGTCAATCTACGCAGTCAAGTTCTATCACCAGAACTCCTACGACGTTGCGTTTTACCATTAAAGTTGTTTCCAAACTTGTGATCTAGACAGAACTGACACATTTGGATAAGGTACATCAGGTGGGAAAAGAGATGAGTATAAAGTTCGCTCTGATCCATTTTGCTAACAAGGTTTCCGGAAAACAGGACTCCTGGTGTTGAGTTTTTCCCAAACGTCCTCGTTAGCTGACGAGTTTCTTTGAAAAACGCGTTTGAAAAAATTGCATCACCGATCGAACAGGTGGATTCAATGATTGCAGGCTCGCCGGAGCTGTTTTTCCTCTATGCCGATACACTGTTCATGCTGTTTTATGATATTTCTCTAACGGTTAATGGTTTTCTTCTGTTTGGATTATATTTCTTTTCTTGAGGGAAAGATAATTCGTTGATTATCACTTCACCGAACGTTAATGCGGATCGCTGTGGAATACCATCCCATATGACATTGACCCATCGTTCAATTCACGGTGTGCGAGACTTTGGTTCATACATAACGTGACCTGTCTGAGGTATCGTTCGGTTTGGGTTGGTTTTTGATCTTTTGTGACCGGATCCAACAGTTGTGTATTTTTTGGGAAGGGAAGGAGGAGGGGGCGTTCAACTCTACGTTTTCATTGTTGCAGCATTTTTGGTTGGAAGGCAGATCAAATAGAGCATCTACTTTGAAGCGTAAATAATTCTGGATTAGACAGAGGCTCTCCGGAATCTGCTTTCTGAATTTAATGGATTTTCGGTGAAATCGGGTTCCATTTCCGATGTCCTGTTTACGGAGGGTGTGAATAGACTTGTTTTCGTCATATACACATCTTAGTGCTCCTTAAGGTGGCTGGTCTCTGTCTGTTTTGTTCTTTTCTGATCCATCGTAAATGGCATCAAAGCAACGTTATTTTGCGCGCCTGAACCCAACGCCGTTCACAGAGGCTGCTACATAGATGCCTAAAAACCGATCGTTCCCTCACCATCTGTCTCTCCGTGGAGTAGTATGAATATTGTGTGCTAGCACCCACAGGGCCAGTATGATTCTCTGATCGGACTAAAGTTGTTCTCAGCTGGAGCCTTGCTTTGGTTGAGTGCTGAAATTGGTCTATTTCATCGATTGAGCATGGTCTACTAAATGAGACGGCGTTTGTGAGAGAGGTGAGATCAATTGGTTCTTGATTCCTACGTCCATCGGCTGTTCCTTTTAATCCCATCATTGTCACGTGACAATCCCGTTGATCGGCTTATTTTGGTAATCTCCGTTAACTGCGAAATACTTTGTAAGAGTGAAATGTTTCCCTCTACACATCTGATAAAATGTTTGAAGATTAATGCGTCAGCTGAATAAGTGGTACGGAAGTTATGCAAATGATCCATGGTACTTGTGTTCTCGTGAAGATATGGATGATGACCACTGCTGAGATTTCTGTGCTGATCAAAGTTGAGTTATTGGCCGGATGGCTATTTCCTCAGCAGTTGGGCTAATAAAAACACGATTAGCCCGATTTCCGGCGTTTGCTTTGTTTTACACTGCCGAAACAAATAATCTAGTTTGAAGAAACCGGAAGCAGATTTTACCAGTAAAGACTGGCTATCTGTTTGTCCACTATGCGCAACTGGTAAGGAAACTGATTGATAAAATAGATTCCCTCCCTCACCCGCATAACTTCCGAGCGTTTTTATGCAGTTGTTTCCGTGAGTCGTGTTCGTCACGCGAGAATTCACTAGCTGAGGCTGGAGTGGGATAGAGTCAAGCGAAAACCATATATATATATATATATATATATATTTAAAATTTCATCTTCACGTTTGTTTTTCGTATTCAAATTACGTACATCACAGGGTTAGTCTCTGTCGTGACAGTTTGTCGTTGGGGTGGGGGTGTTTTAGAAATGACGGATAGGATGTATAGGACTCTGGTCATCAAATCCAAATTTCGAACGGATGTCTTTGAACAATTTGTGCGTCGTGCTCATAGAGTATTAGATCCGTATAGGAATACTGGG